TAACCAAGATCCCAGGCGTTGGACATGGAGGCCGGCGCGGCGGACTTAGTTCCTATGGATTTTAATTTTTGCGGAAGAATAAAGGTTCTTATTTTTAAATTGCCCATATATAATCTAAGCAAGAATTAGAACTACTTATGCGAGGGTATCTTTCATCCCCACTGAGTTAATTAATTCCGCGAGAAATGTTCAAAAACGGCCCCGTCTATCCATAACAGAAGACGGTCGACATATCGAACAACCAAAATCTCAAGTCTTGGTTTGATATTAATTTTTATTGTTATTATATATAGTTTAAATGTGTTGATGTTGTTAAATGTAATTTAAATTGTTATAAAATTCTGCATCTCTCATTGCAAATATTATTCCGCCGTTCAAAGCTGACTTATTCAAAGCGTGGGCGAATTTTTACAAACTGTATATCTGGAGAAAAGAGGAAACGAGCAAAATATCAAGCTAATTTTAAATTCTTTTCAATGAATTAAAAATATAAAGGGTGTCCCATATAAAAAATCAAATTTTCTCTTCATAATTCCTAAATTGTTAATTTAAAAAAATATATTCTTAAACTATTAAATTCTATATAAAAAGGTGCTTTGGAAATGTTTTCATAAAAATACAAAATTTTCTATAGCAAAAAAGTTACGGTGATTTGTTAAAAATGCACTTTTTTGAAAACATCCCGTAACTCCGAAACGATAAAAATTAAGCCCCAGACACCGATGTTAGTTTTCGTCTATCTCCTACAGAAAAAGGTCTTTCCCTTTAAAATAACACAAATAATTTATTTCTGGAGGTATTGTGTTTAGGTGTTTTTCAGGTATGTTTTAGTATTTAGTCGCTTTACACAAAGAAATTGCCATTAAGCACTATAAAAATGCTTCATAACAAATCTACACATATATGTGTACCTTTCATTTAAAAAAAGAATCATCAAGATTGGTGAAGCGGTTTCGGCGGGATGGATGCAAAAAAAACCCTTTGAGCTTTTATATATGTATGGATTAATTATTTTTCCAACATATTTTACTTTGCAAATTTTTATAAATATTCAGACTCGCCAATATCGTAGTCCACCGTGTCCAACCTGTTTAGCCAAACGTAGGCCGATTCCTCTTCGGCGGCGTCGTGACCCTGGCCGATGGAAGAGTCTTGAAGACGCTCATCCGCGCATAGGAACAAGTTGACTGCGTAGCGTATTGCGTATTAATCGATTCTGAAACTTTCTATCTCATGTATAACATGTTACGCAAGTTTATTATTTTAATCTCGATTTTAATAGATAAATGTGTGAAATGCCACCTGAATATCTTCCGCCATGACATGTTTTTACTTTTTTGTTATGGTAAAGTGATTTGTATAAACTTTATTTAATAACGTATATTTTCCTCCATTTGGTGACTTTTTAATTTTAAGCGAAAATTAAGTATAACATTTTAGGAAAAAGAAACACTGTAATATTTAAAAGAATAAGAACAAATTAGTCTTATTTTGAAAGGAAAATATAGAAAAAGCTCTTTCTATAGAAAAAAGTCTTTATACTAACCAGAATCCGGTGACATATACGCGATCTCACCAGAAACATTACTTATTACTTCACATAACTAGAAGAATATCTACTTTTAATAATGAACACTTCGGAAATACACCAGTAAAAACATTTATTATTTGAGATTAAAACTCGAATTAAATTATAAATACTAGTTACCTATGTAGGCCTGTTTAACGACTTAATAAGTTACCTATCGAAAAAACCTGTGCGCGTACCTACCACTATTGTTACAGGTTAATTCGTTAAAGAAATATGTTACACAAATTAAAAACGCTAAAATTTTAATGGTATTACTTGTGCATTATTGGCCTTATAATGCGATTAGTTGTTTTTTTATTAAAGACGCTGGGTAATTAAAACATTGACTAATAAAGCTTGTCCACTTTAAATACGGGGTCACGAAATATCCTCCTTGGAGTGTTTGGGTTAAGGCGTGTATAATAAATTATGATTGATGTATAATGAATTATGTTTTATAATGAAAACCATAAAACATTTATTTGTGAGTAAAATAATGCAATGGTTGGATATCTCTCCTTTATAATTAGGTGACTAAAAATACACTAAAATAATTAGAAAAAAAATCTTGTAATTATTTAGTAATTACGTCAATATTAATTTGACTTTCTCAATCATTTCAATCATGCGAAAATTTGGTTTAAAAATAGATTTTTTTTAATATAACTTTCATTTAACGAAAAACGAAGGCCTAAATGAAAAAAAGAAACAATTTAAAAGTTTCGCTTATGCCTTGACAAGGTATCAAAGCAAACCCCATATTTTTTGCTTTTAAACTAATAAAGATATATCAATAAACAATTAGCGATGTAATGGTTTTTGCGCGCGCTGGCCGACTGCCGCCGCTGCGCCGGGATTTCCTATACCCTTGTATATATGACGTCATGGTGTGGCAAATGTAGCATTTTAATTCGATTTGGGCTCCCTTATATAGGATAACAGAAACGCGCCGAGATTTCCTATACCCTTGTATATATGACGTCATGGTGTGGCAAATGTAGCATTTTAATTCGATTTGAGCTCCCTTATACAGGGTGTCCCAGAAATGAGTGCAGATATTTTAAGGGGTGGTAGATCTGGCCAAAAGAAACATATTTTCTCTTTACCATTTTTAAAATAGATTGAAAATAACCGAGTTATTTAACTTTGAAAGTTTAAAAAAATTGCGACATTTTGAGAGCCGTCGGGGGAATCTCGCGGATCCCCGGCGCGGGGGAGAGATCTCGCGGATCTCAGCTTGTTCGCCGCCCGCTGTTGCCACATCTACTAGAAAGACTTAAAAAAGTACTTGCAAAATCCCACACCATCCAAGAGGTTCTGCAGAGGTGCGTTACTTTTTTTAAGTGGGTGATCGCCAGTAGCCCTACTTTTCACATTACACAAAATAAACTAAAAGAAAAAACTTGCCAAACAATAAAAAGATATCCCTATAGCAGAGAGATACAACTGTAGAGCTTTCTTTTTTCCATTTTACCACTCTTAAAACTGCACATAACACTACACTTAATAACATCACTCCACTTACAATTCTTAACAACCCTATGCAATTTTCAACTGTGGAAATATTGGCTCCCCTATTAATTTTAGAGCTAAATCGTAAATGGTTTTAAAGATACATTACAAATTTGCACAAAGGGGATCCAATATCTCGACAGTTCAAAATTTGCATGGGATATCCTATATTTCCAACGATGATGCACCACCCGGTATACCCTTCGCTTCTTGACTGCATGCTATTACAATAATTGTTCAACATGACGACCTCCATTTCCAATACATGCTCTCCTTCTTCTGAGCATGGAATTTTTTAACGTTTTGTAGCAATTCTTCGTTGCTTTTTCCGAATCCTTCAAATGCTGAACCATACTTACAAAGGTTCGAGCATTGGGGATTTATCTATTCGGATACTCTTCGGAATAAGTCTCCGAGCTTCTACAGCGCTTTCCCCTGCCAGAAAGTACCTATGCTCTTAGCATATCCACCTTCTTCGGATTTGTATACTCCATCGCGATTTGCCTATACCGATACTGATTACCGACACAAAAATATGCACTAACGAACATATCACAACACTTTAAACACAATCTCCGATCACTTTCTCGAATTTTAAAAGCTCGATAATATTAGAAATTAGATCGATTTCTAATAGTGTACATGCTTTGTGTACATGCGATTAATAACGTTAATATAATACAGGAATCTGTAATTTTCTCCCCCACCGCCCATTTCATTGGAAAAAACGGCGGCAGTTTTCTGCTTTTGAAATTACGATCGATGGCATTTTATTGTGTAAAAGTGGATGGTAAATAACATCGATCGTAATTTCTCCAGGCAATTTAACGTCTTAGTTAGGTATACTTATTTTTTATCAAAAAGCTTTATAGAAAAAAAATAACTGAACATATTAGTAGCTTTATTACTAATTAAACTATTCAAAACATGTTCTGATATTACTAAAAAATTTAAGTAAAAAATATAGCAAATTTTATAGTCTGACGACGTTATAATTAACAATAGGCAAATGGAAAAATTACCTAACTACATATTAGAGACATAATTCCATACCTAGAAATACCGTATGGTCGAAAAAAACAGCGTCCAGAATGGCTTGAAAATAACGGTCGGTGACATTCTCCATAAAATTTTACATAAATTGACAGCGATCTTTATATCATAGCCATCGCTGACGCCGTTTTTTTCACGACCATATTGTATTTCCCATTAATCGCATGGTGGCAATACTAATTTATATTTAAAGAGATATATCTAAATGTGTATAAACTAGGTATTTTATTAGCAATCATATTTAAGCTATTATGACTCATATCATATTCTAATTATTTGAAACTTGAAACATAATATTTACTCCTATTATATTCATGTAACTAAATTTTCTAATATTAATAACTCTCTGATAATAAAAACAAGAGTGTGTTTTTGAAAAAGTAAACATAATTACTGTGTGTATTGACTTTATTGTGAAAAGCAACCTATTTGAAACACTACATTTACGTAACTACAGAATAGTTTAAAAAGAACTTTACACATGTTTTTTTAGTCTATTTTCTTTATTATATTTGAAAACTACAGTCCCCCCTTCAATACATAAAAAACATTTATATTCAAAATATACTCTAGATAGAGCTCCAATTTTTATATGAAATGAGAATTTGTTCACACATAAACTACCGTATGATCGAGAAAAACGGCGTCAACGATGGCTATGAAATGAAGGTCGCTGTCATTTTATATGTAAATTTATATGGGAAATGTCATTGATCGTCATTTCCCAGCCAACTGGACGCCGTTTTTTTCGGTCATATGGTACATTTTATGTATTTTATTCTTTAATTTTAATTACTACAAATATGGTCTTGATATTTTTCTTTTGAATACATATATTCTTGTTACTCTCTTTCATCTTTGTCTCTAATATACAGATGCATTGCAATTTGTTGTTAGTATATTTATGTAATCATTTCATAAATCCTAAAAATAAAAATGGTTATAACATGCTTTCCAGATATCCATATCCACAATATTCTGTGTGTAAATATATTCAATTTTTAATAACCCATTCACTAAATGAGATTGTGAGACAACATACAGGTAGCTGTTTAAATAATTTTCAATCTTTGTATGTAATAACAGATTTCACATATTATATGCATTACACAATATGTATTACCTGCAATAATAAAAGATATTTTCTTTAAAGTGTATAATTCTATCTAACACACTTCTAATAAAGTATACTCTGACTCTTTGAACATTTGTTACAGCTTCTAATAATTAGGTATATCGATAACTTCCTAAGAAATTGTTAGCACTTTTAATTAGTTTACCATTTTTCTCAATATATTCTGCATAATATATGACTCGATACATTCACCTAGAATAAAATCAATAATATCATTTATGAATAGAAAACTACATGTATAACTTTTTCGTTAATATTTGCAATTTCAGACCAGAACTTGTCTGAAGAGAACTTTCTTGGTTTGTTTAAAAATATCTTACCGTATAACATAAATTTACATCTGAATTAATCTAATCAGATCAAATTTTCTTCATAGTATAGAAAACATCGAAACTATTTGACTGGTAATCGAGCTATCAATAAGTCGACACTAAAATTTAATGCATAATTAAATGGGATAATTATTTTCATGTAAAACAAAAAACTTTATACTTAATAAGACCACAGGGAGTACATACAATAGCGTTTACTGAGATTTTTTTGATTTAATGTATTGCTTGGTATTTGTAGATCTATTATTGTATTGTGATTACAATTGCCTTCTTCTCCATTGATGCATCCTAATTTAAGATTACTGATTTTCTAATACATAATTAAAGTGAAATTATTTTTCCTACCATTACATAATTAATTTCTTCCACCATTAGGTAGATACCTGAAAGGTTAATAAATTAAAACGAATTTATTAAGACATTTAAACTGTTTACCTCATTTCTCACATATTTTTGACACCAAACATTATAAATAAATCAAAAATATTCGTATACCAACTGAATTATATGATATTTCATTTTGAATAATAAAAAAGTACTTTTTACAGGTTTATTTGGCATTGTTTGCATTGTTTTTGTTGTTTTCTGTTTTGTTTTTTGTGCGAGTTTAATAACCCCACGATTAACCTTAAACATAACCTTAAACTACACACCATACTAGGGATGTACGATTCGAATCGATTATTATCAAATCGACGTGATTTTTATCAAACGATTTTTTGGTATAATCGATCTTTTTTTTTAAATCGAAGACCGATTTTATTTATACAGTTTTACAGGTTTATTTATTTGTTAGAATTTAGAATAAGAAAAAACACTTTAGTTTTGCTGGAATATTTGTTTGCAGCGAGGGGTAAACCGCAGAGGGAAAAGTGTACACCGTAATTCCTTTTACTCAATAATTCTCAAATTCGTAATAAATTCCTTCGAATTCTTTGGAATTCCTTGGTCTTCAAGGTCAAGGTCAATCATTCAAGGTCTTCCTTGAAATTCCTTGGTACGAACTCGGTAACTCTGTCAGTCTGAACCAGCGTTGCCACCTCGGTTTCGCAGTTCCGCTATGAATTTCAGGTGATTTTTATAAATGTCTAATGTCTCTATAAGTACTAGATCTTACAATAAAAGTACTCATTAAGAGATTTACGTTTTTTTTAGTTAAATTTTAGGACCAATAGGGGATCATGAGGTGAAAATACTGGAAATATGTCGGCACTTACTTATTAAAATTAATTTTTCTCGAGATTTTTTGAAAATGATAGGTACCTAGTTATACCGGGTGCTGATCTTTCCATCGTTCTCTTCCAGGCACAATAAAACTTCCAAGTCAGTATCATTTCTTGCATCTTCTCTTTGTTCCTGCCTTGCTTCACATCTGCAGATATTTATTAGGGTACCTTTGGTCTCAAATCTCTGGATATTCCTTGCGATTGTAGATTTTCCAGGCATCGGTCCGGTCTATTCGGATACAGAGCAACAAACATGTCCGACACCTTTTGATAACTATTTGTTTGATAATACCATTTAATCATCAATACTTTTTCTTCGGTAGTGTAATTCATGGCTAATATTTTCGATGTAGGTATGAGTTTTTAATAATAATAATAATAAAGCACTAAATAGATAAATTTCTGAAACGACAACTTCATTGGAATTCCTTGGTAAGAACTCGGTAACTCTGTCAGTCTGAACCAGCGTTGCCACCTCGGTTTCGCAGTTCCGCTATGAATTTTCAGGTGATTTTTATAAATGTCTAATGTCTTTATAAGTACTAGATCTTACAATAAAAAGTACTATTACGAGATTTACGTTTTTTTTAGTTAAATTTTAGGACCAATAGGGGATCATGAGGTGAAAATACTGGAAATATGTCGGCACTTACTTATTAAAATTAATTTTTCTCGGGATTTTTTGAAAATGATAGGTACCTAGTTATACTCGTATCTATAGGAAAGGAAATTAATAAAACTTCAGTTGCACGTCATAATACGATCACCTGTAAATTCCATAAGATTACGCATGGTATCATTGATGAAGTGCACCTAAAGTTGTATTAATTTCCCTATATAGTATATACCTAGGTATTATTCGAGGAAATGAAAAAATCAACTTTACACTTTCTGAGTACTGAATAAAAAATCTTATAAGGGTTTCTTTAAAATGGCGAAATGAGGGAACGTTATAAGTAGATCCTCGGGGATGGTTCGGCCGTACTATTGGAAAATATTTTAGATATATAATCGAGGGTAATATATTAAATTAAAAGAATATCTGACCTGTAGATATTTGATATTGGGAAATTTTGGAAGCGAAAACGAAAAACGGATAGTAAAAAATCGCCTGCAAAATGTTTTTCTTTAAATTTAGTACTACCTATGGTTTACTAATGTTCGTTAATTTCTTATAAAGTTGCTTGTAATTCCTCTTAATTCCTGTGGAATTCCTCTAAATTTCTAAGGAATTCCTTGGAATTCTTACGGAAATAATTGGAATTCCTAGTAATTCCTATGGAATTCCTTGGAATTCCTCGTAATTCCTTGGCATTCCTCGTAATTCCTTGGAATTCCTGTAGAATTCCTTCATAGTGTACACCATAATTCCTCTGCGGTTTACCCCTCGGTTTGCAGTGCATCCCTAGTAAAAGGCCATCTAGCAATGAACTGAAAAATTAAGTGTAAGTGCTCGCTGCCGCATGCGCCGATGTTTGTTTATCACTTTGATATCAGGTGTCAGATTGTTGTCGGGGCTTCCCATATTTTTATATTTTAGATAACGTAGAATACTCTTTGATTTTACCTTAATTCTTTCTTGGGTATACCCTTCTTGTACTTTATTTTATTTTTGGGATATCCCTACTCCATACATTAAACATTTAGAAAATTGATTTATCTATCTTTATACAACCACCAAAACGTTGACCCATAATAGTAATACATCAGTCCAGTAGAGGACGCTAAGGTAAAATTTCTAAATAAAAATTTGTAATTTGTAATTCCTTCAGTGTTTTCGAAATCGTTGTCCGGGGTTGTGTCGGTTTTGAAATGTCGAAGAAAACCCCGGACTGTCTACCATCAGCCTCCGGATATGAGTAGTTATTAAAGCAAGTTTTTTAACATTTTTTATTGTATTTATGAATTTAGTGTTTGATTATTATCATGTGAAAAATTTTTAAATAATATTTTAAAAAGTGATCGGCATGTGATAGGTTTGTGATGTTCAGTTTAATAGATATTTGGTGTGTATGTGTTTACGTATATGTGTGCTGGATAAAAAACACTTTCATTAAAAGAGGGTAAGCTCTAACTAAACATTAAAGGTTATAACTGTTTATTGAAACGATTGAAAATATTTCCTAATATGGCGAAAAAAGAAGCTATAATTGTTAAGATTTATTTTTCAGTTTACTCCACTTGTAAAAAGTATTTAAAATATTGCGCGTTTCTCTAGAATTAGTAGAGCAATCTACACTAATATGAATAAAATGAATTTTCGAATTTTTTTCTGTAGCAACTAAAATAATTGAATTTATAGATAAACATGCAGAATGTGGGTATGGTAGGAGGTGGCAACGTTGCATTCTCTCCGACACTCCTCTATGCCCGGTAAACGAATTTCCCGGGGAGTGAACAGTGGCACTCAAAGTTTTTCAACATTTTCCGGAAAATGTCAAGAAAAATATAAAATTTTCAACATTTTTTTTTTGCAAAAAAAACCTCATAGGCGTGTTTCTGGGGTTGAACTATACTACCAGTTAAAATATCTGCACTCATTTCTGGGACACCCTGTATAGGATAACAGAAACATTTTCAATGTTAAAATATTTTTTTCCGTTTTTTACATTAAAAGTGGTCTCTTGGTAAAAATCGTTACGAGTAATGGTTTTCGAGATATTTGGAATCGAAATTATCAATACGTCATTGACAAAAATTGAACACGTTGTAAATATAGATATTAGACTGAAATCATAGATTTGAAATGTTTTTGTGCCAAAGGTTCAACAGAAACTTTCATAATTTTTTCTATAAATAATTATGATTAATTTAAAAATTAAAAGTTCCCAAATTCTACCATATCAGTCAAATAACTATCTAGTCAACATGTTTATTTTTTGTCAGTTATGACATGTATTGACTATTTTCCATTTCAAATACCTTAAAAACAGTTGCCCGTAGCGATTTTTACCAGGAGATATTTTTTAAGTAGAAAATTTCGGAAATGTATACTTTTCCACTGATTGGTTTTAGCCACGTACGGACAAAAAAAGTTATTACTCTTCAAATCAGTAAAGAAACATGTAGGTGGCACCCCCTACAAGTAAGAGTCCTACTTGTAGGGGGCCCCTAGTGGGTTAGTAGGGTGGATTTTTCATGTCAAAAAACACCATTTTTCAATCAAAAACAACGTTAGTTCAAAAATTATTTGGAAAAACCGAAATAAAAATGAAACTTCTACACCCTGTATCTCCAAAACGAAGCATTTTAGGACATACATTATTTTATATGTATATCGGCCATTATCAAAATCCAAAAACGGAATTTAAAAACTAAATGTGCCATTAAGTATACAGGGTTGTGCACCACATACGACACGGAGTATTGTAGCTAAACGATTAGATTTTTTTAGAAATTGTGAGTGATGGAATCGTTGGAGAACTACTAAAGCTACAACCTAAAATTAATTTTACAAGATACAGAGTGTCCCAAATAAATAAAAGATATCAAAGTTGTATTTTTTAAATAGAACACCCTTTGTATTATTACATTTTTAGTTTCTACGATTAAAATAAAGGTAAACTTGATTAAGGTTTATTACACTTAAACCTTACCGTTTTTGAAATATTTTCAATTTCGTGAAATTGCAGTAAAAATTTTAAGGCTTCATTTCTCCCAGGGCGTCAAAGTTTTTAACGCTAAATATTTACTGAAGTTTATTTATTGATCAGTTATTGTGTTGGGATAATAAAAATATTACTACCTCATACAGAGTGTATACAAATTTATTTTAAATAAGTTCTAGCTTTAAACGGTAGTAACTTGTTTAATTTAAATAGAACACCCTGTATATTTTAGGAGAATCAGATGCACAATTTAATTGTCTATGAAATTGTATTATACGATTTTTACCACTATCTATCACTT